AGAATGATGGAGCACTACTATAACTTCTTCGACAAATTTTGTGATGTAAACAAATTTGAGGAGCTAGAGATGGACACAGACTCCCTTTTTTTAGCTCTTGCTGAAGAAAGTTTATACGACTGTATCAAACCAGATAAGAGAGCTGCTTGGGAAAAAATGAGGGAAACTGACTGCAGAGACTCTTTCAAGGCGGATGCAAAATCTAATTCAATCCCTCGAACGTGTTACAGTACGCATAAAAAGTATGATAAACGGGAGCCGGACTTTTTAAAGAAGAATTTAGATGTAAAGAAATGTATGTTTGTGTTGCAAGACATATTGCTGCTATGACAACAAGTCCGATAAGTTCAAATTTCGCGGTAAAGGACTAAATAAACGGGTTCTAGAAGATTCTGGAGACGGTCCCATGTCAAAATACAGGAGAGTGCTTGTTGAAGCAATATATCTTACATCTACTAACAGAGGATTCAGAACTATAAATCATATGGTGGCCACATATGAACAGACAAAGAAAGGACAAAGTACAAGATGATGGAATTCATACAAAACCATTGAACTTATAAGAATTGATCTGGTGTAGTAAAATTATTCATGATGTCGTGTTATATTGGTTTATGATAATAGAATAAAAAATGTTGCAGTAAACTTGTTATACAATGCAGTGATTTATATACTTTTGTAATTGATTTTTTTTTCTTCAAATATTTGTTTTTTTTCGAAGTCTCTGTATATTTCAGCATTGTTTCAATTAGATAGAAAGTAAGATTTTCGTTTCAATTGGATAGAAGGTAAGATTATCTAATAAATTAGGTTAAAAAAAATAGCTAATCTTATCGTTGATTTTTTTTGAAAATTTTTTCATAAAAATTTCAAGTTTTTACCCAAAAAACTCCTACCATCGACTTGCGATTTATCAAAAAACTAATTAAAATTCCTTCATTACACAAGCTACTCGTAATTAATCTTTGATAATTAACAATTAGGCAACGGGCGCCGAAATTTTTGCGAATAAAATACAATTTTCCACTCAAAAACCAAAAAAATTACTTTTTTCTATCTCTTACTTTTTCTACCTCTTACACTGAAACCTTACCATTCGTATTCCCTATCTTAATACATTGTAGACTCTATACCCAATGTTAACACACAGATGGCAGACCGGATCCTCTATTCCCTATCTTAATACGTAGGGGTCTAAAGTAGGTAATAGAGGTGGACCATACCAGAACCTATCTAACCTTCGGTAGCTCGATTCCGTTGGTGACTGCGCCATTTGGAATTAATCTTAACGTACTTGTAACAGCATAAGTAAAAAAAATAAAAAGCCTGAATATAATTGACTTCAATTATGTACAGTCACGATCGCCTTTGGCAACACGCTGACACAACGCTTTCTATTACAACTACTTTGGTAACATTAACTTATAACATGGGTAACAATGTCCCCTAACATAAGGTATATAACAGCCACTTGGTTTTCACTAAAATAATTTTAAACATTTTTGACTACAATCGCGAACCAGCATTCCAAACAAAATGCGAAAAAATTACTCAAAATAGTTAAACCCTCCAAAGCATTGAAAATGTCATTCACTCCAATCAATTCATTATGATAAAAAGGCATCAAAAGATGTTACTCCAAAAAAATAAGTTATAACCTAAATTATAACGTAAACTACGACATGAAAATTTGGATGCTCATAAGTCGAAACAAACCCGGATTTGGTCTAGCATGGTCAAGGCATATCTTGCTTGGGTGGATCACGGTTGAGCACACGTTGCTCGATCGAGCACGGTCGAAACTCATCTTCTGTTTATTTTTTGGTCGATACTTACCTCGTGCACGGTTAAACTTTTCTCGAGCACGGTGGAAACATACCTCGAACACGGTTGAACATACCGATTGTGCCGTGGTAACTCGGAGTCACATTTTTCAAGTTTTGACTGAAATCGGAAACCAAGATTCAAGAAAAGTGAAAAAAAAGTAGTTCAAAAGTAGCTCAAAAGCTCAAAAGTAGTTCATCCCTTAAAAGCGTTTATTTTGCAAATAACTCTAATCATTTCATTCTGATAAAAAAGTATCATAAGATGTTACTCGAAAAGCATAAATTATAACGTTTAAAATGGGATAGCTAAAGTTGCTTGGAGTTCATAACATAAAGGAACTTGATCGAGGCATATCTTATTTGGTCGAAACATACCAAATTTTGGTGGAGTTTGACGGACGATACTGATTTTTGATTGAGACGGTGGAAGCATGAAGTGAGATTCTCGACCCGCGTCACCTACTAAGTTTTTGTAATCATACGCCCATAATGGTCTGGTGAATGATTTAACTTTTCATCAAATTCCTGATAAAACTGGTAGCATCATCGCCAAACCGAGTGGACCAAAAACCATTCATGACGACTGACTACACGAAAACTAACTTTCTCGACAAGACAAAGCCTAACTCAACGAAATTTTTCTGAAGTAAATATTCTGAAAGAAAACCAATCGATCGTTGTGTAACCAAAAACAGTTGTTTGGCACAAAATAGATCCGATTTCGAACTAAATCAAAATAAGTTCATCCATTTAAAGACAAGGTTCGATCAAATTTGATTCCTTTTTAGCCCAAAAACAACTAAGTTTTTCCAGTAGGCAACTGAAAAATAAACATTACAATTAAAATATATTCACGGCATTTTAACATTTTTATCACGGGTTATCGTCGTGTGGCATCGTTTAGACGTTTTTGAATAAAAAAACTGATGCGTTTTGAGCTTAAGCACTGATGGGTGTTCTCCATAAATGGTGTTTGAAAATGCTCTAATCGAAAAAATCTGGACTGTTGAAATCGAATCGATTCACTTAACCAAAAACGTTGTTAATCAAGTTGCGGCATACAAGTTTTGATTTTTCAGCAAGTTTTTTGAAAAGTTGCATCTCAACTACTCATAGTCTGGCTTCAAGTAATTCGTATTTTTTTGTTTTTTTTTCGAGTGCCTCTTATAGTTGGACTCATTTTTCGTGTCTAAAATTGACGTGTAATCAAGCAGACAACTTAAATTAGAAATAACAGACAAGGAAACTTAACTTCAGAATTAGAGGAAAAAAAGTAATTTTGAAGAAACAAACTTCTTTACCCAGTTTACGAAAAAAGTGTAGAGCTAAGAGATAGGATACAGCATTTGGTCATGGCATCATAGATATATAAATAACTCGTTTATTTGTCTTTTTTCATTTGTTTGTCAAAAGTATTGAGGCTCTTCATATAGCTCGTTTGTAAATTATACCTTGAAGATTAGCTTAAAATTGATCAGCTGGCTAAAGTTTGTTTCCATAATTTAACTAGTATGAAATACAAAATTCAGGTAAATTGAGTTGAGGCAAAAAATGGTTGAGCTGGTAGGAAGGTTAGAAAAATAAACAAACATGCGCAAGATTGGTTAAATGTCTAAAAGTTTAAGTGAAAACTAACCCTTTTTTCATTATCGAGCGAGAAATGATATGGTAAGTTCGATAACGTAGATGACCCTTTTGAAAGTTTATATTCATATTGCTAAAATATAATCAAAAACAATCCAAAAACTGACTCTCGAAAGCAAAATTTTTATTTTTGCTAATTTTTTTCTCTACGTTTTCCAACGAAAAAATTACTGAGAAATTAATTGAAACATATCCTGAGCTGACAAGAAATTGTTTACGAGCTGGCAAGTTGCAAAAACCTAAAATGTTGTGCCATATTGATGGACTATTGATTTAGTTTGATACAAAATGTAGCCAAAAAAATTACTTTAAGCCCATGTTTTGGCAAATTTTTGGTTCCATTTTCATACTGATTTTAGTAACAAAAAACTATTTTAAAATCAGCGGTATCCAAATTTCTCTTTTTTTTCTGTGTTTTCAACTTGTAGAGCTTAAACTCAGTTATTCTAGACTATCAAACAGAAGACAAAAACGGAAATCAAGTGAAACGTACGCTTTTCAACTGTCTTTCGTGTCAATGTTTTGCCTGAACAAAAACCAGTAGCGCTAATAGGTAAAATTTTTTCAACAAAAATGAATTGTTCTAAATTTCCATAATATGTAAATAACTACAAAATTGCGCGTTCAAGGATAATTATGAAAATGAAATAGAGAGAAATTTTGCGTAACTTTAATTTTAATTACCGACTAAACCCTTGGACTCGCAAAACTCAAAAATGATTCCCCTAAGCTCAAAATTTGCGGCGAAAACTGTCCAACCAATTGAATCTTGCTTTCCGTAGCTCTGAGCGAGATTTTTCTTGAGTACAAAGTTTTGCTTAAGTTTCAATACAAAAGGTTCAAAACAAGAGTTAAATTGAAGCAATTTTGGTGAACTTTTGACAAATTTAACTACTTTGCGAAAATCAGTTTTTAATAGTAACGTTTTTCAAGCATCTAAATGGGCTTCTGCAACTCAACGTAGTTTTTCACCTCAAGTTTTTCACAGCGAGTTGATTTCACGCTTCAGCTGGACTGTAAAGTTACACCAAAAAAACTTTTTCAAAACTTGCATGCTATCAAAGAGCTGTTTCCCACGATATCCTTCTCTCACTTCGATACGATGCATTGATTGACTTTAAAATTTGGGCTTTTTGCTGTTTGCTCTTCATAAGAAAAAAAAAACAAAAAAAATACTTAGGAGTAAAAAAAGTGCAAAAAATGGATAATTTCGGTCGTATTTGAAACTTACCTTACAAAATAAGCGATACCTTTAATAGCTAATTATAGGCCCAAAAAATCCGCACACTAGGTGATTCTTGCTGTTTAAAAATGTTTCTCGGGTGTTCGACAACCGCTCACAGTCTTATGTTTGAAAAATGTTTACAAACTTACCAAGCAAAATAATTGATAGCTTTATTAAACAAATTGAAGGCCAAAAATTAAAAAAAAAACGCTCCTTAGGTGATGCAAAAAAGTGTTTTCTCGGATGTTTGAAAAATGTTTACACGGTGGCTTGAGAATTTTTTTGGAAATTTCAACTTTTTTTAGAATTCTAGTCTCAATTTGTGGCCACAAAATACAATGTCGGAGCTGCGACCTGTTCTTATTGGAGTGATGATAGACCCATTGGTGTCCTTCGAAGAGGCAATGGGCTGTCGGAGTGTAGATGAGATTGATCTATGGGCCGAAACGGTTTTGAAATTCCTCAAACAAGTACTCAGCAAGGATATAAATAACAGCAACATAAAGGTTGTGACCGAATTTGGTGAAAACCCCGAAACCTACTGGTTCGATCAAGTACACAATTTCCGAGAACTAAACGAATCAAGAAAACGAAGGGGACCGAGAGCGGACGGAAGGCAAGTCTATCGAATAAAAATTTGTGACGATATCATTGATTGTCTTGAAAGAACCGGTGCCCCAAGAATTCGAACTTGGGTGAATGCTGATAAAATGAGCCAAGTTTTAGAAGAAGTCGAAGCAATTCGTATTAAAGATCTGCTGCAGAATGACTATAAGCTGAGAAGAAAAACGGCTAGAGAATTCTTACCTCAAGAATGCCGTGGGCACGGTTTCTTCAAAGCTATAGTTAGCTGGTTCAAGCAAGCATCAGAAAGTGACATTATATATGTGCATGACTTGATAATTGACGAAGAAACGAAACGGTGAGTTGATCTCAACCATTGGTTTTTGTAACTTGAAAGGTGAAGATAACTAACAAGCCACAGCCACAGCCATTTGACCTTAAATGAAAAATAGGCTATTCAATTTCTGACACTTAACCAGTCTGAAACACAAAATCAGACCGAATCTTTGAAGGAACAATTAAAACTTAGCAAAAAAAACGTATTTCAAAATCCAAATGGTCAAGGAGCACCGAGTTTAAGTCAGGGGTGGCTCACTCATCGAAAATTTGCAGATAAGAAACACTGTCTGTTCGTCACGCCATCTTATTTTCAGCCGGAGAGATTCGTGCAACTTCGTAGTCTAATAACAAACTTAATCTTACTCTTAAATCTCCTAGTCTCAATAGATCTAGTGTAAACTGGTATTTGCGAAGCTAGATATCAAAAAGGGTTCTGAAGAAGAGCAACTAGTTTCAGCCATACAAGTTTCAGCCATACAAACCATTGTAAGTGCTAGTTATGGATTATGATTGGTTAGTTCTAAGTATTTTACAAAAATAACTTATCAAGAACCTAATATGATAAAATAAAAACTTGTTTTGAACTGATTCCACCCATCCGGGGATTACAGAGTTTTTAAGTTTGTAATTTAAGTTCAATTTGCTTTGGTGAAGGATAGATGGAGAAGTGTTTTGATTCTTTTGAGTAGATTCTTTTGAAGCTGTGGTTGCGTGAAGGAAGAAGAAGAAACGGCTGCTCGTGTTGTAGAGTAGTTGTCTTCATAGAGAGAAAATGATTACAGTTGCTCGTATTTCAGAAGTGGGTTTCGTGTATCAAGATTGGGTTGAGTAGTCGTGTCAAGATTGCAGTATTATGGCGCGTCGATTTCGTTAAGTAGAGCAAGACTACGTGAATTCTCAACTGTTCATCGAAAAGTGAGGTAGGGTTTTGACTTCTCTGGGTGGAAGGCCCAGTGACTAGGACTCGCAATGAGCTCAACATCGACTTGGCCATTGTGTTTGCTCACTGGGCACCTTTGCTGAAATGTTGGTTCCATAGTTTAAATACTGTGAGGGCTGTAGCTACGGCAACAAAGCAATAGATTTGTCTTTTCAGAGTCGGAATGTCATCGTTTTTCATCACCCTTTGTTGCTTGCTCGTTCTTGTTGCTCGAAGAACTTTTTAAATTTGTATATTTACATCTGCATCTTATTAGTGAGAAAAGCTTTAGATGTGATTATTATTAATTGTTTTTGCAAAAGGTTTTTTTCGTCTTCGGTAATTTAAGGAGTTGCACACCCTAGAGCTAATCTGGTTTAAAAAATGGAAGTAAAAACAGTGCGTCATAAGCGTGGATAAGCGTGGTGGATGAGGCCGGCTTTGGAGCAGGCTCTGGACGTCCTTTACTGGTGGGTAAGGCCAGTTGTTGGACTATAAATTTACCGTCTCTTTTCGTGTTCAACTTTTTGTTCTTTTTTCTCAGGTATTTTTTTCATTGTTTTTCGGCTTTTGTCAAAAACAGACTGTTGTGTTTTGTGTGTTTCTTTTGGTTTTTGTGTTTTTGTGTTTCAAATAGTTTTAATAAAACGTTTACGCAAGTTTCGAAAGAATAATTAATCCAGATTTGGTCTGGGCTTAATCTGGTTTCGGTACCATGAGACTTTCTCATTCGGTTGGTTTTGTGAACATTAGTAAGATGCATTGATTAGTTTAATTGTCTTTCTAATTCCTTCCAACCGGGTTAAAGGGAAGTTGGAAGTTAGTTTGTAAAACTGGAAATTCATTTTTGAAACAATTCTACGGCGGCGAGTTACTCAATTTGTGTGGCAAGAGTGCGTTAAATGTGGGCGAAAGAAGTGAGAAAATTAAGTTTTATAAAGAGAAGCACACATAAAAAGGTTGGAAACAATAAATTTTTTTCCATAAATTATTTACTATTTTGTAATTTGAGATTACACCATTTCTATTATTTTATTGCTGTTTACTTGATTTCAATTTATTTCACATAATTAGATTATAAATTTGAGAGCTTAAATAGAGTTTGATTTTTATTTTTGTTTTTGTTTTAATCTTTAGACGAATGTTAGGTGGTGAACTCTGAAAAAAAAGGCGAAACACAAGTGTAAACATAGTGAGTGTCCCATTTGTTTCTATTAGTGTTAATTTAAATTCATATTGCGATGGTTCGCAGTGAAACAATAATCCATGGGGAAGATAGTTTTGATAGTGTCGGAGGTTATTAAAAGCTTGGCAAGCATTCCGACTACGTTTTTACAAAGTCAAAGCAGTTCAAGCGCGCTGATGACATTGACTTTTTTGGTGACAGCTGAAAAATCGTGGTTACGAATTTGTATGAGATTGTAGAGTTTTCGTTTAAATTCAAAATTATGACTATTTTCTAAGAGGGCAATTTCTACGGGTTGTATGTTTTCACTCAGGATAATGATGAGGTGGGAGTCTTCAAACAGGAAGTCGTCAGTCAGGGGTCAAAAGATGTACAATTGTCCCACAGGGTCGTAGTTACGGAGGATGCCGTGGAAGTTGGTGAATTTTAAACAATATGTGAAATTTAGGAAGTAATGTGATATTTCTTCAGAGTTAATGAACATAAAGCGATGTTGCGGATTGCGAGATGGTGAACTGCTAAGTGTCATTGGATGAATTTTAAGAAAAAGTAAGTGTGTGTTAGGTCAATTTTCGCATATCTTCATGAGAGTACATAAAATCTCGTTCCTTTGTGCTAGAAAAAAAATATGTGTGCAAAATGGTCCAATTTACTGAAAAATTGTTCATAAGCTTTTGTGTTTAAGAGTGCGTGTTCAATGATGTGGTAGATTTTTTTTTTAGTACCTACGAGGTGAAAACGTTTTCTGACTTGATGAAACACTTTTCGTTATTTGTGCATTTACGTTAGAGTCAGTGTCATTTGGTTAATCTTCCATAAATTGGACGACATTATGATCATAGTGAATGATAGAATATCTGTTAGTTTTTTGCGCAATGAATTGATTAAGTTTCTGATTTAAGACTGAAAAGGTAAATTGATTAAGGTGAAGTGCGTCAGTTAATCGGTGAATGATTGAGTCAAAAACTTCATCTCTTGAGGTTATTTTTAGTGGGTTAGTGAAGTTCTAATTTGATATCTCTGAAACAGTTGGGAGTAGGGAAGGTTCATCAACATATTGTACTCATTGGGTCGAGTTTTCTCCGTTGTATTAGGTGTATTGGGGTACAAAGGGAAGGTTTTCTACTAAAAAGGGGGCGTTACTATGACATGGGTGATGATAAAGGAGTCGAGTTGATAAGGGGCGGATAATGAGTAACTGTGGTGTAATATTTGGGTCTTAGTGTTTCATAAATTAATTTCGTGCGCGTGTGGGCAATGTGGACAGATGGGATAGAATATTCCGAGGTTGGAGCAGAGTGGGTTAGTTAATGAATGGGAATGGACTATTGGTGTTATGAATTTGTTGCTGGTGGGTAATGAAATCGTCTAAATCATGCTTTAGCTGTTCATCTATGATGGGGCTTGGTACATCGGGTACATTACTTGAAAGAGGGGAAAGTATGGGGGTAGCGTCAGTTTTTGAGGAGGTGAAGGTAGAGTTTTCAACAGGGGTAGGCGGATTTATGGGTTGAAAAGTTGCTTGATAAATATTAGTGGGACTGAGCTCGGAATCTAGGAATTCATCTGGTTGTTCTAGTTCTGAGTTATTAAAATTAGATATAGTATTAAAAATAACATGGTTTGAATCATCAGAGGCAATATCAATGCTTGGTGAGTTAGAGATCAACTGGGTACGGGGAAAAGTGAGGTCTGAAATTGTAATGAAAGAATCGTGGACTTGGAGGTTAGATCGGAAGGAAAGGGCACAGTTCAGGGATCCAATTTGGAGGCTCATCACTGGCTAAAAAGATGGTGTTTTGAGAACGAAAACGTAAGGGGTTCGGTTCTTTAACAATTTCGATATTGGGTTGTTCAGGTGCTATATGAGATATAGGGCTACGCTGAAGGTAACTTTTATATACCATTCGTTTGGTGGTCGAACCGTAATTCGATAGCTTTATAAAATTAATGATAGAAGGTGGTTGTCTTGTAAACTTTGTAGACGTGATGGTGCTGTAGGTGTAGTATTTGCATTGTCTTGACGAGTATCGTATGTAATTGGTTTTGTTGATAGTTTTTCATTGTATTCGCTAATTCGAGCGTCAAGAAGACTTCTGTTAATAGAGGTGGAATTTTTCTTAAAAAGCTTGCGAATAAAATTTGTGCAACGCTATCATGTCTAATTATTTTTGTATGTTTTGCGCATATAAGATAGGTTGGTTACAGTAATTAAAAGAGAATATCTAAGATATTGTAGGGCCAATTTTTCTAAGATATAGTAAGGCCATTCTAGAAAATCTACGAGTTCGTTTTTGATTTTTAAAAAACTAAAAAATATTGTGAAAGATTGGTGAAACATCTCGTGAGCGATTTTTTTACTCAGTATAGGCATATAAACTCTAATATATTTGAAATATCAGCTCTAGTCTTGTCGGTAGATGTCAAAAAACCCTGCCGTTTCAGCCTGTTTGTGATGGTTTTGATAATTTTTTTTTCTTCGGAGTGTACCCATTGTATCCTGAATTTTCTGTGTCCGCTTTACAGTTTGATGGGTTAATTCTTCCAATGTGAAATATCCAAATTTGATCATTTATGTCATAGTTTAAACGTCCATTTGCACCATCATAAGGGAATTTATTGTCTAGTTGGATATGAACTTGGTGCTAAATCTGGTGGTTGAAAAGCTTGAAAATTTACTCATTTACAATTTTCGCCCTTATTTGTAACTACTTTTAAACGTTTGATTTAGTGTTTACGATCTTTGGGTTCAAGAAGTAGTCGTCTTTCTATGTTGTTTTCAGGACAGGGTTCATGATTGAGTCAATTGTTTTTTCCATTCAAAACTTGTGAATAATAAACCTTTCTCCGCAGTGAATTTTCCTGTGAAATTATTAACTGTTAGTGTTATGACTCGGGCTTTGGTGTACAGTAA